CTACAGAAAAACTACAACAAAAAATCCAGCAGCGTTGCTTTACTGAGACCTCCTTGTTGCTGCATCTGTGATGATCTATTTCAAGTCATGAACATCACAACTTATGAGCTTATGAGCTTAACAGATTCATAAGAATCCAACCTTAAAATTGAGTCGAATGTGCAATCAAACCTTCTCGAACCTTAACCAATCTCGAATTCCCAAAGTCCATGAACTTGTCTTCCAACAGATTAACCTCATCTTGTTTTATGCTCTTCTGCTACTTCTTCGAGATAAATCCAGAAATCCATACTGATAATCAAACAGCCCAATACACATAAAATTCAAGCTTCTAAGGCGTTCCCTAGTCCTAAGAATTCTATGTGCTTCCACGACTAACAACAGTAATTTGAACACCAAATATATCAGACTTGAACAAGCTGATACAACCAGAAAACACAACCTGAAAACCCAGCAATGAATCTTCACAAAACCCTTGCAAAATCAAGTAATGTCCTTTGTGTTCCACCAAGCTTTCAATTCATTTGAATACACAGATCTTGAGCAAAACAGAAACAATGTAACCATCACATAGTTACCTTGTGATTGCAGCGGAAATATACAAATGTAACGTCAAATTAGTCTCACTATAATATTCTAAACGATAGGATGAAGTCATTATTATATACAAAATTATGTTCCCGAAATCATAATAACATTATTTGAATCATTACCATTAAAAGTTATAGTAACAATATAACTGGGCTACTAATGGTTTTTCTGACACAAAATTGTTCATTTTATTTTATTTGAGCATAAATTAAGATAGTGAAACCAAAATTTTCATGTTATGTTTAGCTATGTCATATCTGAATGTTTGCTACTACTTTAATTTACTTGGGGTTTGTTACATAAAAGAGTCAATCAATTCAATTTTGACATATTTTAAAAACATTTTAATAGTTTTAAAGTAAAATTAAAGCTTCCATTTTCAATCAACTAGGTTTTGCAATGTTATTTTAACCATTTATAATAACTTGAAGCAAATTGGATTATTCCATTTTCAAAATAATTCAAGGATATCAAATAAATAAAAAGGAAAATTAGAGTTAAAGAAATATTACTTGAACAAAATTTTAATAACTTTTAGGTAAAAGCAAAATTTCCATTGATCTTTGATATAAAACTATTGTTGGAATCAATGTATTGTTGTTTAATTTGTTGGAAGTATTGACCCGACCCGGACAATAACAAAATTCGACCCGACAAAGCTTAGCCGGAAAAAAAGAAAAAACGCGAGTTTGAAGGGCTTTTTTTAATTTTGCTCGCAGACACTTTTTTTTT